TTGTATGTATGTATGTATGTATGTACTTGTATGTATGTATGTATGTACTTGTATGTATGTATGTATGTACTTGTATGTATGTATGTATGTACTTGTATGTATGTATGTATGTATGGTCAGTCTGCAAGCTGACCTCAGCTGTAAATTGATGTGTTTTTTTCTTTCATCCTTTATTTAAACAAGTTAGTTTCATTAAAGTAAAACAGACCTGATTTGAACTTAAAGCTTCTGAAGCGAAACGTCTTCAACTCCAGTCCAGATGTTTTAGTTTAATCTGGTTTGGATCCAGTGGTCCTTTTATTTATAGACTATGGCTTAAAATGTAATCTCACCTCTTTCATTTGTTTTTCATTTCACTTGATGTAAAAAGTATAAGTTGTGTGTTTTAGTAATCAGTCATCTGTTTGCTGCTGATATGAAGTGACGAAGTCCAGGGAGGTTCTGGGGGGGTGTTGGGACTTTAAACAAAAGGATCCATTAGTTCCTGCCTCCACAGGCTCAGAGGAGCGCAGAGGAGCACGTAGGAGCACATAGGAGCGCAGAGGAGCGCAGAGGAACACGTAGGAGCGCAGAGGAGCGCAGAGGAGCGCAGAGGAGCACGTAGGAGCGCAGAGGAGCGCAGAGGAGCACGTAGGAGCGCAGAGGAGCGCAGAGACGCCGCTCCGGACTGGTGGCACCCCGACAGCGCGCTCCCTTCACGGTGAAACATGTTGAGGAGGTCCCTGGGACTCGCCGGGCTGCGGCGGAGCCGTCAGCCGCTCGAGGGGCTCCAGAGGGCGGCGGCGGCTGCAGGGTCGAGCCCGGCGGTCCGCCGCCGAGACGTGACCTCCAGCAGCACCGTGGGAGTCAGCAAGCCCAGAACCATGGAGGACCTGGGTGGACCGAGCCTCATGACCACACTGTACTGGCTTTTTATTAAGGGACATTTTCAAACCACGCAACAGATGCAAGTAAGTAAGTGGGGCATGGAATGAACTTTAGTAACCCCAGAGACGTGCTGCAGCTTTTACTGTCCAGACCATAATAACCCTGTCAGAAAGTCACTTTATTAAACTCATGCGCTTTGTCTGTTTTAAATAAGAATATCTGGGCACGAGTAAACCAAGTGGAACTGCTACTGATGTTCTGACTAAAAATAGCCCAGTATGTTTAACATTATGCTTCCAGCCTTGCCAGTATATTGGATCATTCCTCGTGTGTTTATTAGAGGCAGCAAAGTTTTTTTGTTTCTACATGGTCTTAGAAGCAAAATAATAAAATTTGGCTTTAGTTGTTTTTTTTATCCAGGTGCAGATGAAAACCACCTGTTTCCAGACTGTTAATCAAAAAACTGTTTTGTCTGAAACCAAAACTGGTCTTTTTTTTGTTAATAAGTCGTTTATTATTGTCATAGACTGCATTAAAATTCCAATAAGAAAATGTAGCTGCACAAAAATCGTGTTTACATCCAAAAGGCTTTACATCTGCACCACAGTGTAAACATGATATTTGGACCAGATTTGGACATTAAAAACAACTAAATCAACAGAAAATCTGACATTTTAAATCTCAAAGTGTATGGACTTTAGAAATAAAAAGTAAACTCTTTTTATGTATGTACATAGAAGTGACTCTTACTCATTCCCTGTCTGTCTGGAAATGTCCGTCTGTCCGTCATTCCTATAAACATAACATGAAATAGATAATAATAGTAATAATAATAGAATAGATGAGGTGCCGACTTCCATTTCGACGTGTGGCTAAGAAAGGTCTCTACTGAAAATTGGGTTGCCACGTCAAAATCCAAAATGACCACAAAGAGAAAACTATGCTTTCTAGTTTTTATATTGCTTAAAAGTATAGTTTCCTCAAATGACTGGGGGAATGACATTTAATCTATGGTGGCCAAGGCCACCACTGGCCACTTCCTGGCTCTGCCATTGCACCTGGTCATGGACCCGCCAGGATCTGTCACTCTGTCTGTTCTTCTACACAGTGTAACTCCTACTCTACCCTAGAGGTTGTTGCTATAACTCACTTTTCTTTGCTCATAGATTGAGCACAAGAAGATCTATGGTCACTTATGGAAGTCTAAATATGGCCCCCTGGTTGTGGTGAACGTGGCCAGCGCTGAGCTCATAGAGCAAGTTCTGAGGCAGGAGGGGAGACATCCGGTCCGGACTGACATGCCCCACTGGAGGGGCTACAGAGAGCTCAGGAACCAGGCCCATGGACCCCTAACAGAGTGAGTGCAACACGTGCCCCCACGATCTTCAGCTTTACATGCATGTTTCTTTTAGTCCATATGTTTCTTAAAACAATGCTTGAATGGATGTAGTCCTGCACAAAGTTTGGTTTTAATCAGAAAAAGTTTTGTTCCCTTTGGTTGGTGCATATCTGTGGCAACATCACAGTGCCACATACAGGCCTGGCGTGGTTACTGCTGCTTTTAGAGTCGTTTTCAGTGTTTCAGTGTGGATGAAGACATTTCTCGAAATGGTGCCATGTTTAAGAGGCTGGTACTCAGGGCGCTGGAGTGGTGCGCCCAGAATCTTCCTATCACTTGTAAAGAAGAGGAGCTAACTGTGCATGTACAAATTTTAACGAGAGTCTATGGACTAAGATTCTTGAGCCCCCAGGGCGGAAATACGCCACCAGTCAGACAACGTTTTTGAAAGAAACGACAACTCATAATTAACTATAAAATATTTATTTTATTTTACACAGCTATGATTGTTAAAATCAGGTCTCTCTTGTAAATGAGTCCCCGAGGCTCAGTGGGATTAACCTGTCTAAGTAAAGGTTGAATGAAAACTAAAAAAAGATATAGATATATTTCAAAAATATTTTTATTTTATTATTCCATTTTTATTTAATTTTTTTAAGTCTTCAATGTAATATGGTGAGTGGTGCACGTGGTGGAGCGGCACCCTAGCACCCCCTATTGAGCAGACGCCACTGGAGCATAGGTGAATTGTTTAACAATTTACAAAGCATGAACAGAGATTTTTAATGTTTCTTCTGTCAAACTTGTGGCAGCGGCGGCTCTCGTTACCGAATTATGTAATTCTGAAGCAACAGATTTTGAGATAAGTCTGCTACTTTTTGTTTTTCTTCTTCTTTCTCTAGTTTTTTTCTCCTTTATGACTTGAGCATGCTTAAAACCGCTCCTTACAGTGTAATGATTTGTTAGAAAAGGCTTTGCTGTCTAACTGCCAACAAATCCCATCACAAATACCTGAAACATACTTTTTCAACTGCTCTGCGTATCCTCTTACAAGGTTTTTGTTTTCCGATACAAACACGTCACAGTAAGCTCATAATGACAAATTTCATTGTCAAGAAAGGCTCAGGTATTCTGTTTAAACAGCCACTTTAGTTTTCCATAAACTTTGCTTAAAGCCGGGGAACAGAGCACAAATAATGGGAGCAGTTTTCACGTTTGAATAATTTAAGGAATTCACTGGCGCTTTGGATCCACTTCTGGACCCTGGCATTAGGAATTATTCAATGTTCTTTTATGTCTTTAACTAAAAAGCTGTTAGAAATAAAAAATATATCTGTGAGATGTTTAAAATAAAGTTGTAAATTGGTGTACGAAGCAAACGCTCATTATATTCCTGTAGAAACGTGCGTTCTTAAAAGAACTTTAATTCAAATTTGCCAACGTCTTCCTAGAAAATGTTGGAGGCAGATTAAGAAAATCCCCTGACAAATGAAAAAACGTGGACGGTTGTCTAAATCCAAGGTGGCCGCCACCAGTGGTGGGCACGGTTCCGCTAATCCTCTAACAGCTAATAGCGGAACTCATTTTTCATTTAGCAGATTAACGTTTTCACTGACTTTGGAAATCGTTAGCAAAATTAACTTCTGCTAAATTAGGTTTCACCAACTTTGTTTGCTAACAAAATTCACAAACATTCCTGTCTGTAGTGGGCGTGTCTCGAAGAGTCCGTTAGGCACGCTGTTGGCTTACTACGTGACAAGACGTGATTGGTCGACACAGCTTCACCTGGATGGAGACGACGACGTGTGACGCAGCAGACTGAGTGATAGTTGTCTTAGCGGTTAGCAGTTTAATTTTAGCTTCCGCTATTTTTTTTTTCATTGACGCTTTATTCATACAGGTATTCTCATTGAGTCACGAGAACTCATTTTCAAGAGAAACCTGTTTTTTTTTTTTGTTTTTTTTTACCTGTTTAGCAGTTTAGCATTAGTGAAGCTAACTAGCTCTGTGCCCACCACTGGCTACCACCATATGTATTTAACTTGGCCACCCCATTTATTTGAGGGAACTATGATTTCTAGTTTTTATACTACGTAAAGTACATCTAACGAGATTGAGTCAAGACTCCTGGACGGTTCTTCTTTGATGAAACGTTTCAACAAAGAAGAACCGTCCAGAGAACCAGACTCAACCTTGTTAGATGTATCTACCTGGATTATTGGGCATGCATCAGAAATTCTTAAAGTATGGTTTCCTCAAATTATTGGGGTGACCGGTGGGGTGGCCAACGAACAATCTATGGTGGCCAAAGCCACCATTGGCCACCCTCTTTCTGGCTTTGCCTTTGCGCCTCGTGGATAAAAATGCTCCCTCCACTCGCCGGGATCTGTCACTCTTTGCTGCCGTCCTCTGTTCTTCTCCACAGTGTAACTCCTACCCACTTGAATATCTTGCATCATAAACCTGCTTGCGTTCCCAGTTCAATTCCAGTCCATAAAAATGCTCATTATGAAAACAATAAACATCCATCCATCCATCCATTTTCTTCTGCTTATCCGGGGTCGGGTCGCGGGGGTAGCAGCCTAAGTAGGGAGGCCAAGACTTCCCTCACCCCAGCCACTTGGTCCAGCTCCTCCGGGGGAATCCCAAGGCGTTCCCAGGCCAGCCGAGAAACATAGTCCCTCCAGCGTGTCCTGGGTCTTCCTCTGGGTCTCCTCCTGGTGAGACGTGTCCAGAACACCTCACCAGGGAGGCGTCCAGGAGGCATCCTAACCAGATGCCCGAGCCACCTCAACTGTAATAAACCTTCATTATTCAAATCCCTGAGCGATGGGGGACATCAACGAACACACTGCATGTTAAATCTTGGTTCTGTTCACACTTAGTTTAATTATTAAAAAGTCAGCTTTTTGTAGTTTATATTCTGATTAAATAAAAACTGATGGAAGTTAGCAGCTGCACTGGCTCCTCTCAAACCTCATCCAGAAATTCTCTAACTGTTCATAATCTCCAAACTACTGAATTTCTGATATGAACCCCGATTTGCAGGATGGGAGCCAAGTGGCTGCGCATACGCAGCATATTGAACCCCCGCATGCTGAAGCCCAAACACGTCTCCTCGTACACCAACACCATCAACGACGTGGTGACGGACTTCATCAACAGAGTGTCGTGGCTGAGGGACACCGGCGGACAGGGACACGTGGTCAGTGACCTCACAGGAGAACTCTACAAGTTTGCTTTTGAAGGTGAGCAGGGGGTAAACAAATGGCATTATTTTAATTACTTTTACTCATACAGTATACTATCTTAGTGACAAAATCCTTCACTTTAACTCCTACACTAAAGGTATGTGAGATAAGGGAGGTTGTGAACGTCGCTCCACTTCTCAGTAATTCTTACAGCTCAGATTTCTTCCCAGAGGTGGGATTTCCAAGCAGCTATTCAGCGCCGTCTTCCAGGGCGTCAACTTTGACGTGGCCTCGTTCGACCTTCGCTGCTGATTAGATACCGCGAGATAACTTGTTGGTCGGATCATCGTTGGTGTGTACCTTTGACCAAGTAAAGTGTCGTGTTGTGGTTCAGGCTGACGCTCCCTCAATATTTCTCAATCGTGCTCCTCTCTACAGCGAGGTCGAAATGTGTACTTTAATATGGGAAATGTGAAGTTTGTATAAAACACATATGATCTTTAAGTCCGTTCAAACTAGATGAAGACAAGAATTAGTGTTTTATTTTAATCCAGGTAGATGAATCTAAAGGTTATGTCAAGTTCTCTGGACGGATTCTTCTTTGTTGAAGCGTCTTTTATCCAGAAGACTTCTTCAGACTTTATCTTCTAAATGTTTTAGGAGCTACACTGTGTAGAAGAACAGAGGTCGTTTTGTGTTTTGCCTGCTCGAGGTCGCGCAGTGACAGAGCTAGTGGCGCAAATGTATCCACCACCAGGAGCCACAGGGCGGCCAGTGATGGCCTTACTGGGCAGATGTAGTAGAGAATAACAATAACTGGAAGGGGTTTAGGTAAAGAGCCGCTGGCACACAGTACTGTTACTACAACTTGTTCGTATTAGCAGGGACCAAGCAGCTGTGTCCAAAACCAACAAACCTATCCACCGGCACCATTTCTCATTTAACTCTTTTCAAACACCTTATCTTGTTTGCTCTGTCGGTCTCCAAACTTTACTGTGAAACAACAGTTTAACAGTTTAAAGAGGCTTGAATCCAAAGCCAAAGCCATATTAACGGGTTCCTTGTGTTTCCAAACATTTAGCCAGAATATTCTAAGTAACCGCTGGATACGAGCAGGTAAACCTGCCCCAAAATGTCAGGCTATTCTTTTTAACGCTGTACTTTGACTAATACTCTGAAAATGTGTTCAAAATAATCTAAGTTTGTTTGGAAGAATTATTTTTCCAGTTTAGTTTGGAGTCATATTGTCCAGTAGCTGTGCTCTTAATGCTCCACTGTTAAGGTTTACCCATCGGCTAAGATCCGACCTAACATGGTAGGTTGTGACATATGAAAATGGGACACAGAAGTCATGAGAAAATTATGCGTTTTATAACCTTACGATAAATGAGCCCTCTCCAAAAACGCTTTGTTTCGTTTCCTACAAGAGTCTGATCTTGAATCTGGACTTTACACATTCAAATTAACCGTGTTCCAGTCTCAAGTTGGGAAAGCAGTGGGTTTTACTCATCGTTTACTAAGCTAACCACCATCAGCACCACAAGCTGATGATAACGTACGAAGCCTGGTAAAACCCTGAAGCAACATAATTATGACTTGGACTGTAACTCTTCACGTTTGACTCGTTTATTGTGATGTGAATTGACAGAAGTGCAAATAAACGGTTTATTTCTGCAGCTATCACTACTTTTTATATGCAAAACAGCCATATTGGATTTTGAGGTTGACTTAAGTCAGAAAACCTCCACTTCTTCTCGTCAGTTTCAGCCTCAGACGCAGTTTGAATTCATGTTTATGAACGGGAGCTCAAGCTACACAATTTCCGATTTCAAACTGAGCTCATCTCCGTAAAGTTGCTTTGTGTTAGTCCCTAACAGTGAAACAAAACTTTGGCTCTGAAGCTCTTACTTTTTACTTTTTTAATTTGTCAAATCTACAGTTTTTCTCGCACAAAAATAGAGTTCACTCACTTGGTTGCAATCTGCAGATTCCCCACTAGATGGCACTAAATCCTACTATTCCTGATTTTTTTAAAAGTGGCTTCTTTAATGATCACGTGGGCAGCTTGAAACAAGTACAGAGAAAAGTCGATTCTAGCAAACCAAAGAACGGTTAGGAATATGATTCTCGTTAAAATAGATTTTTCTTACTCGGCACGTCTCAAAGCAGCAGCAACCCAGATGTAATGTCCTAATCTAAGTTTCAGGTCTCTGTTTTAAGCCCGGATGTCAAAAGTCTCTTTTAATCTTAGCTAATCTGATGTAGACTTGTTCTGTTTTTTATTCTTTAACTTCCAGGGATCTGCTCAGTTTTGTTTGAGACTCGTATGGGCTGCTTGAACGAAGCAGTTCCAGAGGAAACCCAGAAGTTTATCTTCTCCGTGGGGGAAATGTTCCGGCTCTCTCCCATCATCGTCCTCTTCCCCAAGTCCGTGTGGCCCTACCTGCCATTTTGGAAACAGTTTGTGGCGACCTGGGATCATCTGTTTAAAGTTGGTGAGCGGCTCTGATTTCAACCAGTGAAAAACTTTGGTTACTAATTTACAAATTAAATAGTTAAACAGTTAACGGTTCAGTTATCAACCCAAAGGGGACACGTTTTCTTTGCTTTTATGAACAAGGTCAACAGAGAAACTACAAATATATTTACGTATAGTTTTTTTTTCTCTTCCCGTTTTAAAAATTAATCTAGTTAGGAAATATTTGTTTCTTTGTAAGGTAAATTAAAAAAATGTAGTCATTTGAAGGTTAAAATCTTAACCGTTGCCGCACGTCTTTGAAATCAGAAAACCGTAAATTGTACATAAACATAACGACTGTTGATTATTGAGCTGCAGAAAGTAGAATAATTCACTACAATCAACTCATTCAATAAAATAAAATCAAGTAATAAGACACATCAGTAAGTTGACACTGTTTTCACAGCAGAACCTGCTTCAACAGAGTCGTTACGTCTTCTCTAACATTTTGAACACAAGGACTGGAGTTTAAAGTCCATGGCCATTTTCCCAGCCTCATTACCAAATCAGTTCAAGGTTAACAGACTCTTATGGTTCCGTCGAAAGGCAAAGTCCGTCGTTCAGGTCCCTTTGACCCAGTACCTGAGCCATGTCCTCTCAAAGTCTCTCTGTCCTCATCTAGTGGGACAAAGATGCCTCCTGAGTTAACTCTGTTTGTCTCAGCTGAGGAGCTGGTTAACAAAAAGATGGAGGAGATCCAGAACAACGTGGACCTGGATAAGAACGTGGAGGGGGCGTATCTGACTCACCTGCTGCTCAGTGACCAGATGACCGTCACAGAGATCCTGGGCAGCATCACCGAGCTCCTGTTGGCAGGAGTCGACACAGTAAGCATTTACATTTATTCTCCACCGTTTGCCCACCTATTCACTTTAAACATCTATTTAGACCTAATAATATAATATTAATATTAATAATATTAAATTATATTATTATTATATTATTAATATTAATAATAATAAGGGAGGTACCAAGTTGCATTTCAGTGTGTGGCTGCATCCAGAAACAAGAAAGGTTCCCAATCATAATTGGGTTGCCAAGTCAAAATACAAGATGGCCACCGCCAAATATATCCATCCACCATCTTTACCCACTTCTTTCTTTTCTGGTCGCGGAGGTCACTGGTGCCCATGTCCAGCAGTCACTGTGTGAGAGGCAGGGGACACCCTGGACAGGTCTCCAGTCCATCACAGGGACACATAGAGACAAACAACCATTCACTCTCTCACCTCGGGATAATCCAGAGTTACCAGTCAGTCTAACATGCATGTTTTTAGTCTGTGGGAGGAAACTGGAGTACCTGGAGAAAACCCACGTATGCACGGAGAGAACATGCAAACTCCAACCAGAAAGGTCCCTGGCCAGGATTTGAACCAGCGATCCTCTTGCTGAGAGGCAGCAGCTCTACCAACTGCACCACCGTGCTGCCCTGTTTTTTTTTTTTTTTTTACTGCTTTGAATTAACTTTCCAGTACTATCGTTAGTTTTCTTTTTCCTTAGATTTACCTTCATTGATCTTATTGTTAATCACTTTGGTAACAGCTGCTGTTTTAAATGTGCTCTATAAATATCTTGACTTAACTTTTTAGTTTTTATATTACTTAAAAGTAGAGTTTCCTCAAATGACTGTGGTGGCCGAAGATTTATTTAAAGTGGCCAAGGGCCACCATTGGCCACCCTCTAGCTCCAACATTGCATCTGGGTACAATTGCTCCCTCCACTCGTCAGGATCCGTCACGCTGCACACCTTGCACAACCAAACAGTAATTTTTAAAATACCTCTGTTCTTCTCAGTGTAACTCCTACCCACTTGAATATGTTGCACCAAAAACATTTAGGTTCACAGCTTAAACCCATACTGGTATGGATACAGAACGCAGCTTTTCACTTATCAAAACAAATCTCACTTCTTAATGGACATACAAAGGGGAAAGGGAAACTACATATAAAATAATTAGTAAACTATACGATTTATTTCTCTCTATGAATAAACACGACTCCATAAACATAAAGCAGAAATGGGAGACAGAAATGAAGGAGGTAATAACAGAGGACACGTGGAAGGAAATATGCACTGAAGCACAATTAGCCACAAATTCTAACACATGGAGAGAATTTAAATGGAAGATAATAACCATATTCTTCAGAACGCCAGCAATAACCAGTAAAATGGGTCCAGCACATCCCAGCTCATGCTGGAGAAATCGTGACGCCAACCACGCTCATATCTTCTGGCTGTGTCCTAAACTAAGTGGATTCTGGGAGGAAATATTTGACGCCCTTAAGGTAATCTTTGGAAGCGAGGTTCCAAAGACCCCTCTAGTGACAGTTTTAGGAGAAATACCCGAAGGAATGGACAGGAGGGCCGGCAGATGTTTGCTGAACATTTTGCTTACAGCAGCATTGAACCATTCAATGGCTAAAACCAGAGCCTGCCACATAAACAGTAATATATGGATCCAAAAGTCTGGGACATGTACCTGATGGAGCAGATTACTTATCATTGAAGGCTTCAGAAACCATTTTTAACATGTGGTGGAACCCAGTTATGTCCTTACTAACACAGTGATGTGCTTAGAGGGTTTTTATCCGTCACTACATTCTCATGCTAGTAAAAAATACCGCTGTAAACAGGATTGTGTGGACTATTGTAACCTCAGAGGGGATCTTATTGATTTAAATGTTTTTTTTCTCACTTTTCTGTTTCTATTATTGTCCTAACTGTTGCTGGTGTCATTATTGCTATCTCTCTCTCTTATCAACGTATAATGTGAAATGTAACAAGCTGTAAGAGATGGAAAGAATGTAAATATGACAAGTGTTACCACTGTTGTTCTTGTTTAAATAAATAAAAACTTAAGTAAAAAAAAACATTTAGGTTTACTGACAGTCCTCATCTCAACAACTACAAACATTCACTGTTCGACTCCCACAGAGACGGGAGACATTAGCGTCGTCTTTTCAAACAAAACTTTATTGTGCTGCGTGACGTTAACAAAGCCCGCATCCTAGAAAATACTGCTTGTACACAGATTCAGCCTAAATTCAGTTTTTTACTCCCCAGTTATTGACACCTCAATGCCATCTGAAGCCTGTTGTTCCTGTTATATTTGAGGAATGTGTTTTCTGTAGCACAACTTACTTTACTTTGACAGTTCTTGTATTCCTTGAGCAATGAACACTTTTCTATTGGTTGTATTGTCTGTTGTATTTTCTAGATTGTGCTCATCACAATGTTGTTCTTGCAGACCTCCAACACCATCTCATGGTCTCTGTACCATTTGGCAAAAGAGCCCAAGATCCAAGAACAGCTGTACCAGGAAGTGGTCGGTGTTTGTCCTGGAGATAAGGTGCCGACCAGCGATGACATCACTCACATGCCGTACCTGAAGGCCGTCATCAAAGAGACGCTCCGGTGGGTTTTTATTCTCATCATTCTGTAACCAGGAGGATAAAAAAACAAAGGAGACGTGTTTTTTTTAAGCAAAACGTGGACATTTCTTTGACAAATTTAATGCAAAACCTGCCTTTGATTTGCAAGAGTTGCAGATTTTTTACATTTCTCGCTAACAGGCCAAACATCAAAACCTTAAAGCTTTAGAAACTTATCCAAGCTGTTAATAAAACTAAACTTTCAGCTTAACTACCTGCTTAAAATCCAGGTGTAGTCGTTTCAGAAACTGTCTTCAACAGGATCGTTTGAACACGAACTGAGACGTGCTCAGCCAAAGCAGCACAAAATGAAAAGGCAGAGCAAACGCGTGTTAATATATTTTTATAACGTATAAACTGTTTGGATGTTTCATGATCTTTGTGGTATACAGGATGTATCCCGTGGTGCCCGGGAATGCACGTGTCACAGTTGAAAACGAGATCGTCGTTGGGGATCACCTCTTTCCAAAACAGGTGAGAGCCGTTTTAAAAACTGTGAACGTCTTCTGACCACATGGAAATAAACTGGTGTTTAAATGGCACCTTTTAACTTCAAACATTAAATACATAAAAACCTTTCAGCTCCATACCATCACACTCACACCCCCGTGTTTCACTGCATCGCTCATCACTTGGATCTGAGGTGCTTCATTTACCTTTGGCTACGTTCACACGGCAGCCAGTGTGACCCACATCTGATTGTTAAGACAGTCTGAACATGAGAAATCAATTCAGTTCAGTTTGTTTCTATAGCTCCAGTTAACAACAGAAGTCATGTCAGGACACTGAACACAAACATTCACACACACATTATAAAGGACAGTTAGTAAAGTTTATCTGAGGAAGCAGCAGGTTGTGTTGAAACTTCATCACAGTCTCTCGTCCTGAGCAAGAACAGAGGAGACAGTGGGAAGAAAAACTCCCTTTAACAGGAAGAAACCTCCAGAAGAACCAGGCTCAGGACGAGCGAACATCTGCTTCGACCGGCTGGTCTGAGAGGACAGGAAGTAGAAGTAGACACAGAATGACAGGTCCAGGTGTGGTTTCTATAGTCCAGATGTACTTTCTATAGTCCAGGTGTGGTTTCTATAGTCCAGATGTACTTTCTATAGTCCAGGTGAACTTTCTATAGTCCAGGTGAACTTTCTATAGTCCAGGTGTACTTTCTATAGTCCAGGTGTACTTTCTATAGTCCAGGTGTACTTTCTATAGTCCAGGTGTACTTTCTATGGTCCAGGTGTACTTTCTATAGTCCAGGTGTACTTTCTATAGTCCAGGTGTACTTTCTATTGGAGGAAAGACAAAAAAAACATGTTAAGATAGAAATAATTACAAACAGGAAGAGTAGAGCAAGTAAAAACAGCAGCAGAGAGAGGTCATTTTGTCCTCCAGCAGTTTAAGCCTATAGCCTCATAACTAAAGGATAGCTCAGGAAACACAAGCCAACACTAACTATAGGATTTGTCAAAAAGAAAAGTCTTCAATCTGGACAATGTGTCAGCTTCACGGACAGAAACTGGAAGTTGGTTCCACAAGAGAGGAGCCTGAGAACTGAAAGATCTTCCTCCCATTCTGCTGCTGGAAACTCTAGGAACCACAAGTAAACCTGCAGTCTGAGAGCAAAGTGCTCTGTTAGGAAAATAAGGAACAATAAGATCTGTAATATAAGATGGAGCTAGGTTGTTGAGGGCTTTGTAGGTTAGAAGTAAGATTTTGAGTTCAATTCTGCCAATGAAGAGAAGCTAAACGTCAGATAATTAATCGGTTCTGATCGCACAGCGATCACACGTTAACATGCGTGGCATCCATTTTTACTTCCTTAGATCAGCGTGCTGCGTGTGGCGTCACATTTTCTTCTGCGCATCACAGAGAGAAATCACACTGGAGTCTGATGGAGGTCTCATTTAACTCAAAATGTGAACAAACGCAAAAATTTAGAAATGAGTAAAAAATGTGTGATTGAGCCTCAGGACGTGCAGTGTGACCGAAGCCTCGGGCTGTCATGGAAAAGGTTCCCAACATTCCCAACGTGTTCATTTGTAAAGGAAGGAAGTTCTCTCTTTGAACTTAACCATAAATCTGGACTTTATTCTGGTTCCAGTCACACGATACCAGCTCCCACACTAACTCTGATTAACTCCTGAGCTACACCTGAGAGCAGTTTTCAGTTTTATGTCATTCGCTTGCAGACACTGTTCCATCTGTGCCACTACGCCGTGTCCTACGACGAGAACATTTTCTCAGACCCTCACAGCTTCCTGCCGGAGCGCTGGCTCCGAGGAGGCGACGATAGGACCAGGCAGCACCCGTTCGGCTCGGTGCCGTTCGGTTTCGGGATCAGGGCGTGTTTAGGTCGACGGGTGGCTGAGCTCGAGATGTATCTCCTCTTATCCAGGGTAAGACAACAACTGCCACACCTTCCAACAAACATCTGTTTTCCTTGTTTTTTAACACAACATGGTGCAATAATTTACATTTGATGGTGTATTTTAGAAGTTTACATTTGCTCTGACATGATTTCAGGTTTAACCGGTAAAGTAAACAGGTTGAGGCTTTAATTTCATTTCCAGGAAGTGAGTTGTTTGTTTTGTACGTGCACCCAGAGAGCAGTATTGACCTGCAGTAACTGTTCAACCAGTTCACAGACCTGCCCCGAACTTTCTTGTAATCATCTGTACGCCGAGCTGAGCCACGTCAGCACAGTTTAACAGAGTGAGCACGGGCCTCGTGCACAGACCTGCATGGGCTTCCCACTGAAACGTGGTTTACGCTTAAATCAAGAAAACAGCGTTCGCACAAATTAATCCAGATGTATGAAACCGTGCGTACGCATTTCAAACGTCCCAATCAACGAGGAATTGAAGGCGCAGGAGGGAATCCCCGACTCGTCCCTCAACACGCCTCCGTTTGAATCTGCCCTGCACCTGAGGAATCTCCTCTCTGCACCGCTGAAATCGTGTCTACATGCGGGGGAAATAGGAGCTTCACAGGATGCGAGTTGGAGACGCTTCTAAATGAGGTAGAGGCTCGTACAAACCTTCTGCTTGGCTCTGCATCACCTCCAAGCTAAGAGCGGTGAGTGGGACGATGTGTGAAGCTGCAAGTGCTGTGGGCTCAGAGCTGCGCACATGCAGAAATTAAGACGAAATGGTCAGACTTGTTAGGACGATGAAATGAATTTAGTCACCAAGACGCCCCCCGTCCCGCACCGTGCCAGCTTGGACTGCTTCCAACCATGCTGCTGGTTAGAATGGATGAACCCTGGTTGAACCAGCTCACCTCACCACCATAGACAAAGCTTTTTCTTTTGTTTGCACATGTCCCAGGAGAAATTTGATAGTCGGCTGCTTTCGAGGCCAAACGGGGGAGTCAGACTCAAATAAGCCACAATTGTTGATTTTCTTCAGGCAGACTGTTTTTTCTTGTCATCCTTGAGTCTTGCTGAAACTTTCCAGAAACAAAATGGTCAGATTTATGGGCATTCCGCTGATCCGTGCTACGAGCCTCATTCAAGTTTGTCTCCAACATGCTGGCGAGTCCTAGAAGCCGCAGGTGGCCTGCGATTCTCACAACTCGCTTCCTCCTTACGGTTTAGCGTGTGAATCAGCTGATTTTGGGCACTCGTAGCACGAACCAAACCTTCACACAGACTTGACACTTTTTGGCCGAAACTGCTGCCGATGTCTTCTTCCAAAGCCGATAACACAGGAACCCGGCGATACAGAAAGACACATCAGCTCCCACACCCCCACGGGTCCATGACGTATCCTGCAGCGTGAGTCTCAGTGGGACATGAGGGCTCTGCAGGACACTGTCGTTTTGTTGAAAAGATTTTGTCAATTGTGTTGAAAGTCCAGCTCACCAGATCCATAATAGCATTGTTCGTTCAGAAGACGTGTAACAGGAGCTCTGAGACACAGAGAGCAAAAAAGCTTGAGGAAGAGGAGAAGAGATGAGGGAGAGGAAAAGGTGTCCGCCCTGAGGGAGAGCGAGCGCAGAAAGGTTCATGTTGGCCTGTTCAACTATTTGATGCACCTGGTTGACATACGGCTCAGAGTGGACTGGCACAGTCCCCATCATTCTGCCAGCTCCCTCTGGAATGCCCCTTTTGCTATAGGAACCCCAGTTCGGTCTTCTAAGCACAGTTCCATAAGGATTGCCCTTGGAAGTCTAAAACATCTGACGAGCCAGTCAGAAAATCCTCTCAGTCTCTAAGTACACGCTCTCTGCACGTTGCACGGTTCGTTACATCCTCTAATGAAGCCGTTGTTGTTGAAGTATTTTCTGCTCCACTCATCGAGCTGCATCCGTGTGGATACATGTGTATTCATTGTTCATCACGTGTGTCCGGTGTGCACTAGTTTTCACATCATCATCAGTTTCCCAGTGTCACCTCTGTGTCACCAATGGACCAGTAACCATAGAAACGTGCGCATGCCAGCCATGAAGTTGGCGTGGGGGCTGTGCACATTCCCACGCTCATTTCATTTTTGGCACATCTGGCACAGCTTCTCTCCTGTGAACAGATGTTTGCTTCAAGTACTCCCACTGTTTCTCTCCTTTCTCTTGAAGTTGATAAAACACTACGAGGTCAAGCCCGACCCGGCTGGAACCACCGTGAGGCCGATCACCAGAACCCTCCTTTGCCCCGCGACGCCCATCAACCTGCAGTTCCTGGACAGGAGAGCTGAGCCAGCAGCAGCTTCTCTGTGAGCTGCTTTGTATTCACAACGTGTCCCCCCCCCCGGTCGACGAGCACTTGTTTTCCAGAGTTCACAGCACGAGCTCTGACAGGAATGCGCCTACGGAGGAATAAAGTACAAGCTGCCAGGACGGTGCACACTGCTAAACTGTCTGTATGTAAATATGTGACTGCTTTAAACTGCAGCTGGTTTTTGTTTGTTTGTTTGTTTTAAACAAAAAGAGTTTTTATTTCCTTCAATTTTTTTAAGCTGCAAGATTATTTCTGCCTGTGTAGCTGAGTAGAAATAATCTAATTCATTCCTGTTTTTCCTTCTGAGGGAACGTGTAAAATTCACGAGTAAACGCTTTTTCTTTCAGGTAAATAAATACTTTACATCTCCAGACGACGGCTTTACGCACAAAAACCGTGTTCGCTCAAAATTCATACGAGAAGAACACGTGAGTCGAATATGTTGCCCTGAATAATTGTTTAAAACACGTGTACACAAGTTCCTAAAGGGACATGCTGGAGTTCTGTGTAAAAGTTATGAAGAATCAGTATCTTACCTGTTGTGGATAGCTCTTTGAACGGCAGCAGTTTGGAGAAATAACGTTTATTTCTGACTGGATTGACGAGCTGAATAAAACTAAGACAAAAATAGATTTCTGTCATCTTAAAAACTTTACCTTTAGTTCATGTGAACACTATTTTATAAATCTGTACATTTCCATCAGTTTTGCTATTGTAGAAATATTAAAACATTTCCTGCAGGCTCCTGAAGAACTAGCTGCTCCTCATGCTATTTGCACGTGCACACACCCACAGATGTAAATAAGTGTAATGCTCAATTGACTGCAGTGTTGTTAAAATAACATTTTGAAATTTTAGATTGGAGTTGTTTTAAGGCGGCAGAAATCTACTTTTGCACTTTGCCACATTCAGACCAGTCCTTTGCTCATCAACCATCCAGACAGTTTTAGCAAACAGTATATTTATTCTGCACGTCTAACAAAATGCTGAAATACTCGTGCTGTGCCACTAGGTGGCGACAACATCCTCATTAACTACAAATGAAAATACAAAGAACATTCTTGGCTTAAAGATTTGTCCAAAACATTAAGGATACTTAGTAAAATACTTACTAATAATGGGGGTTGCGTGTTTTTTGCCGCTCGCAAGGAAACATGAGAACTGAGCGAACGTCTGAAAAACATTTTAAAGACTACACAAAGTTGTCCGATTTGTAACTAATGAGATACTTAAAATAATCTGCGCTTTAAAAGTATCTTGAGTGAAGACCAGACTTTAACTTCAGACTGAAGCTGTTCAAACAGCCAACGCAGTATTTGTTCAGAACTTTTACGCAAAACACCACCTAAAAGGGCTGAAATATCCCTTTAAAGCGATTTGCACCTGAACACCGTGGAGTAGAATTAAACAAAGCGTTGCGTTTAAAAAAATTAATTGAAGCAGACGATGCCGTGTGTGTTTTGTCTGGTCATATTTTGTTGTACAGTCCAGCTGTAAAACTTTTATCTGTAACTTACAGATTTAAATACTTCTGTTCATTTTCATCAGCACTGTTCCTTCTGTTTGCTTCAGTAAAGTGAAGTCAGTAAAGACAATGGAGAAAATGAAGTAACTAATTGGACTTATTCAAAGACGTCTCAGCTCTGATGTCCCATGGATGGACACTAATGTCGTCAGCTGCAGCTCACACGGAACATGAAGACTGAACTCACAAAATAAAGTTAATAAATGAAGATGGTGTATTAAGTTCTGCTGAAGTCATTGGGATTTTTATTTGCATTTCCTACACTTGGTGATTTCAAATATTTTGAATTGATCCTTGGCTCTGATCACACCACCTGTGGGGTAATGCTGCCCTCTTGTGGACGCTTGTGGCACTACAGGAGTTTTCAGTTTCATAATGCAGGAACCTCTGCAGGTTGTCATGAAGGATGTCAGCCTAAAACAATCAGCAACTCTCTGATTTACAGGCAAGTTTTCTCACTGTGGTGAGACCTGAAGTTTAACAACAACACAGGAACTCCTGAATAACGTGTGTCCACACCAGATTTACACACACGCCTCACAAGGCATACAAGTTGTGCAGCATGTGAACATGTAAGTGGAACAGTCACAGAATGGTCTGAACTGTCCCTCAGACTAAACAGATAAACAGCTTGTTTGAACATTTACAACACAAGACACTAAAACCCTCAATGAGCCTGGTGGCGCCTCTCGCAACAATTTAAACATGAAAGAAATAAAGTTTGATGTTTTTAGACTTTGTTTTAAATAGTTTTCCACTTTGGCTTTAGCCTCATATCAGTCAATCAAGTTTATCTGTATTGCACATTTCAGCAACAAGGCAGCTCAAAGTGCTTTACATCAGGAAAACACAAAATTTAAAGTCATAAAAAACAGCATACAGTCACCAGTTGAGAAACCAGTAACAAACATTACATTTTGTGGAGCGCAATCAATTATGTCGATCCATGTTCCATTTATTATAGTTCAAAAGCAACTCTATAAACAGGTGGGTTATATATAAAGGTAGGTCACAAAAACTATAGCTCATTAGTCCAGACAGAATTACGGCTGTTTTTCTGCGAACTACGTTCATTCAGAGGGCTATCTACAGCAGGTAAGATACTAACTGTTCATAACCTTTCATTTGATTCCACGTTAAAAAATATAAACTATTACCTCAAATATTGTATGTGTGTAGATAGACTACACACATACATATATGCATATACATACACAGTATGAATATATATATATGTATATATATATAAAATAGGGAGACTTTATTGGAAACATAACCTCCACCTCCATCTGACACGAATGATCTTTACGTGTCGTAACGAACAGCTGGAACCACATGATCTCCAGTTTTATTTTTTTAATTTACTACCATAACTCCATCCAGCAGCAGAGATGGTGAGTGTGTGTTTTACCAGTAGAGATTCTGTGCACGGTTTGAGTTCTTCATGAACAGTAAAACTTTTCCATTAATTTAAAAAAAAAACTATCCAGAGCAGTCCACAAGACAAAACCTGCTTTTTGTGATGCGTTATCACGAGGACTCAAAAACTCGTGTGAAACTTATTAAACAAATAAAGATTCTAAGGCAGAAATCTTTTACAGAATAAAAACCTGAGGGTAAGAAACAGAACCGTGAAAATGCTCCGAACAAACCGAGCAAACGGAACGACTCAGAGAGCGGTGATTACTGAGTGAATGCAGCTGAGCTAATCAGCAGGTGAGTGATGAGCAGACGCCTGCTCATATCTGAGGTCAGTGAGCGACACAGAGAAAACTAAATAAAATAAAAATAACTGAACTCTGAGGATGATCTAAAACTACCAGAGAAGGTACGACTCACACGACCGCAGGATCCTGACGGTTCAGCCTCGGCTTGGACTCAGAACAGGGTCGATCACTTCCATACTTATCATTTAGTTTCAACCGTGCTAGGAGCTTTTCCATAAATAAACCTGTCTTGTATATAATGTAGCACAATGACGAGCATTTTATTTCCATTTAACGTCAACATTTCATTCTTCCTAAACGATAAATGAACTTCAAGGTGCTCGCTGCAAACTATGAAATCAAACATTTAAATTTGTTCTCCTGAGTTTTAACACACGGTGCAGTTTAGAGCGTTTACTGCAGCAGATCTAGTGAGATGTAGTTAAGCGGTGTGGGTCTGCGCTCGATGTAAACAAAACATTTTTATCTGAAAACTTAAAGCGTAAACAGCTACATCGGTATTCTCAATCCCAAATTACTCTTCCAAGTACGTCGCAGCTGTGGAACTATTTTCAGTTCCTGTTTTCGTAGGTAAACAAGCGCTTCGCCGATGTCCCCCACCATGTTTGTAGTTTCTGAGATGAGTGTTTTTCTGGACTGGAATTAAACAGGAAATGAAGTAAACCTAAATGTTTTTGGTGCAATGTGGGCGGGAGTTACTCTGGAGAAGATCAGATGCGTTTTTTCTTGTCTGAGGCAGCGCAGTGACGGATCCTGGAGTGGAGGGAGACATTTTATCCACCACCAGGTGCAGTGGTGGAGTCAGGGGGTGGCCAAAGGTGGCCTTGGCCACCAATGATTATTCTTTGACCACCCCAGTCATTTGAGGAAACTATAATTTTATGTAATAAAGTGTTTCCCCCAGTTTACATATCTTCTGTGTTTTTTGTCGGGGTGGAGGAGGAGACGGAGACACGTCTGTTGCGTGCTGTTTGTATCAACAGTTTTTCGCGTCTGCATTGTGCTTTGCTAGCTTAGCACTACGTCAGTGGCTGCAGTTGTCGGGCGGGGGGGTCAGTTCAGTTAGTAGGGCGGGGCGACCTGCTGCTTATTTAACGGTAGAGGAAACAAACCAGAAAGCAGAGTTCCCTCCAAGGATCGGGGTTTAAATATACACATGGTGGTGGCCATCTTGGATTTTGATGTGTTATTTAAAAATTTGAAAGAGCTTTAGATGTAGCCAAACACCAAAAATGAAAGTCAAAACCTCACTTTTTTTAAATTCTTTGTAAGTTATCGCACTCACAGCGTTCATGGATGGACGAACAGACGGAGGGAATTCACAACAAACTCTGAACTGAATATAACAGATGTTGTCACAAACATGTGACCCACGTCATATTTAATGTGTGTTGCTGCAGCGTGTGAGGGCGTGGAGCTCTGCGGCTCAGATCCCATGGACCTGAACCATCCAGTCTGAGAGTTTTGATCATTTCCATTAAATAAAACTGTTTATAATAGGAGATTTAACTTACGACATCATGACTGGTCACCAATAAAACATGCTCAGTAACGATGTTCACTGCAAGAAATAAATAAAAAATACAACAGCTAATTAAAACTTTACATTTCTCAAAGGAATGCTTATCGCCCGCCACGTTCACGCCAGAGTTTTAGAATAAGACGATTTTATAACGAGAAGGGACCAAACTTTGTTAAAACCATTTTCAACAATTAAATTAAATATTGTAAAACCTGAAGAGATCGGCTGGACTCTCAGCTACTACCACACCAACGTTTAGCTCGTCGTCAGTTCAAATGACGAAGATGTGTTGACGAAGCTGGATCACATGTGGCGGCCATCTTTAATTGAGTTGATTCGGAATTATGATTTTCTCTTTGAGTTTATTTTTTTTACAACCAGGTAGCGCTGATTTTATAAGATACTGCCAAAGTGTTAGATAAGGATGTTGCTCAGTATGAAGCATTTGGAGCATGTGGCTGATGACTCTCAGCTACTACCACCACAAATTGAACACCAATATTTGTCAAGTTGTTAAAGCCATTTTTGTGTTTAATAATGTTGGTTCTTTCATCTTGATTGGAGTTGATTAATCAGTTGCAGATGTTCATCCAATTTTTTTGAAAATTTCATATCCATCTTGTTGGATATTTTGCTAACAGACACGGTTGATACCAAACGTTTTTTGCCAAAGTTAATGTACATTTTTTTGGTGAAAATCCTGCTGAGTGTGTAGAGACTGTCGGATGATTTTTATTTACAACTGCACCAAATCTTAGCTGAATACACAGGCGTCGCAACCATCATATGTGAAGGGGACATGGCCCCCCCACATTACAGATGCTTCTGACGCCCATGGCTGAATATCTGTAAAACCGACTGAGTTGTAAACATTTTTTTTAGATTTGGCAGGCTGTGGCAGCCATCTCGACTCAAACTGAATCCAGTTTTTTTTTTCAGCTGTAGATGTAAACCCACCGAATACTTCCTGCAAGTTTCATTACAATTCAACAAGTGGTTCAAAAGATATTTTGCTAACTGACAAAGACAACCCAAAACATTACCTTTGCATTAAGGTCATCAGACACCTACAGTCTCAGAGGGACTCAGTACATAAAGTAGTATAATAAAACCATCAGAAAATTTATTAAAATGTCATATAGTTCGCTTTAAAATAAAAACTGCTGTTGACCCGGATTTGGCCCACGGGCCGTCACTTGATCTGGGCCAGAACTTTTGGCCCTCACGTGCTCAGGGTGACCTCATGTTTTTTGTTTTTAGGGTGACCACGTGTTTTTTTTTTTCTTAGGGTGACCACGTTTATTTATTAAATTATTTTTGGGGGGTGACCACGTTCTTTTTTTTTTAGGGTGACCACGTTTTTTTTTTTTTAATTAGGGTGACCACTTTTTTTTTTTTTTCTTAGGGTGACCACGTTTATTTATTTTTGAGTGACCACATTTTTTTTTTCTTAGGGTGACCACGTTTATTTATTAAATTATTTTTTGGGGGTGACCACGTTCTTTTTGTTTTTAGGGTGACCACGATTTTTTTTTAGGGTGACAACATGTTTTTTTTTAGGGTGACAACATGTTTTTTTTTAGGGTGACCACGTTTTTTGTTTTTAAGGTGACCACGTTTTTTTTTTCTTAGGGTGACCACGTTTATTTATTAAATTATTTTTTGGGGGTGACCACATTCTTTTTGTTTTTAGGGTGACCACATGTTTTTTTTAGGGTGACCACGTGTTTTTTTTGTTTTTTTAGGGTGACCACATGTTTTTTTTAGGGTGGCCACATGTTTTTGTTTTTTTTAGGGTGACCACATATGTTTTTAGGGTGACCACATGTTTTTTTTAGGGTGACCACACTTTTTTTAGGGTGACCACGTTTTTTTTTTAGGGTGACCACATGCTTTTTTTAGGGTGACCACATGTTTTTTTTTTAGGGTGACCACATGTTTTTTTTTTAGGGTGACCACATGTTTTTTTTTTCTTAGGGTGACCACGTGTTTTTTTTTTTTCTTAGGGTGACCACGTTTATTTATTTTTGAGTGACCACATTCTTTTTTTTCTTAGGGTGACCACGTTTATTTATTAAATTATTTTTTGGGGGGGTGACCACGTTCTTTTTGTTTTTAGGGTGACCACGTTTTTTTTAGGGTGACCACGTTTTTTTAGGGTGACCACATGTTTTTTTTAGGGTGACCACATGTTTTTGTTTTTTTTAGGGTGGACAAATGTTTTTTTTTTTTTTTTTTTTAGGGTGACCACATGTGTTTTTAGGGTAACCACATGTTTTTTTTTTAGGGTGACCACATGTTTTTTTTTAGGGTGACCACGTGTTTTTTTTTAGGGTGACCACATGTTTTTTTTTTAGGGTGACCACATGTTTTTTTTTTAGGGTGACCACATGTTTTTTTTTTAGGGTGACCACATGTTTCTTTTTTAGGGTGACCACATGGTTTTTTTTTTAGGGTGACCACATGTTTTTTTT